TTTGGTAAGAATTGACTTGAATAACTTTTCTGAACTAGTTACTCCCTTTTTAAACTTTGGATTGTAAATTCAAAATTGACAAACTTTTAAAGACGTAGTTAAGAAAACCTTATCATATCAAAAATCACGATTTTATATAAACGTGGAAGCCGGAAATATTTAAAAAGAAAAATAAATTGGGTTGAAAAACGTCACCCTAAATAAGGAATAATTCCGGGGCGTTTTAAATCGTCTTCACTTTTAGACCAGCTCCGTAATTCCTGCTTTATGTTGTTCCATTATTCCGCACAGCGTTGTGATTTCGCGGGCGCATGTTGAATGCAACTTCGTGAAAAACTGCCTAAAATCGCATAAGTCTTAAGCGCGAAAGTCGTTCAAACTCGGAAAGTTTTAATTTCCGTTTTTGTAATTATTTTTTGGTTTCTTTTCCGCGGATGTTCGTCGGGCCCTGAGGAGTTTTGTGATAATTTATAACGCGAGTTGCGCAAAGTCTGTCGCAGGACTGATTTCTTTGACAGTAAATGGAATTCTGTGTTCTCGCAGCGAAATAAAAAGAGATGGGTGCGCCTGCATTGATAAAGCCACATTTGTAGGTTCAGATTATCCAATTTAATAATTTTTCACTATTCAATTGCCAATTATTTACTATTTAGAAATTTTGGTATTGACCACAAAATGCTAACGATATGGTATCAAAAGCTCGTTCGTTTGTAAGTTAAATAGAAGTACAATTAAATTACACCAAAAAATGTTCAGATTTTCACAGTTATTTAATGATATGCCACTAAAGCCTGTAGTTTCTTTTGTAACAGCACCGTCAGCTACATTCTCAACAAGATTAATGAAAATTTTAGAATATCATATTGTCTTTAAACCTAGACATGTTATCAAAATTTCGTTCGAACTAACAAGGTTAAAGGCATTAAAATGCCTACTAAGGCAATTCCAGTTTCTTTTGACGTCCAAAATCAATTTCCTAGCATTCCACCAATTGACGTAATAAACATAATGGATAATATTCTCACTCAGAGTCAAGTCAATCCTATCATAAAACAAGACTTGGTAGATAGCTTGTTAAGACCAAAATTATTTTGAATTTAATGGTTAATTTTATAATGCCAGAGGAGTAATTATGGGAAACCCACTTAGTTCACTACTTGCAGAAATTTTCATGGACAATTTTGAAAATATCATACATAAACATCCTCGTAGATGATGTTATTGCTTGTTTCACTGGAACGGAAAGACAACTGCAGTCCTTGTTGAGTCATAATAACTCCATACGTAACCGTATAAAATTTATCATAGAGACGGAACTAGATAACTTTTTAAATTTTGTGGACTTAACTATAACTAAACTACAATTATTAAATATTATAAATATTATAAAACAAATAGGTTTTAACAATAGTCACGATCCCTCTTTGATAAATAAGATTATAATCAAAAAGCAGTTCAAATAACTCTGAACTCTATCTATCTCATATTAAACACAACCCAAAATTTATAAAACAATAAAATACATAGGATAAAGTAGCAAGAAAATTTCGAAACATCAATCTAAATTTGGTCTTAAGATTGTTTTAAAAACTGAAAACACTATAGGACATTGTTTAAAAAACAATAAAACTAAACTGCGAAAAACTCAAAAATCCGGAGACTACAAGTTGAAATGTGGATCATGTCCCAAGTTTATATCTGACAAACAGAACATAAAAGGGCGTATGAAAATAAAAGTTTGGATTCTAATGCATTCATTTAAATTCAGAAATGCACAAGTTTGACGATAATTTTGATATTTTACATAATGAATCAAAAAATTAAATTCGTGGGAAGCTGTGGAGATTACCCAAATGAGATATTGGAAACAATTACTTAATGACCAATTGGATTTAAATGCGTCTCCGCATCTATTACTACCTGTTTATATATTGTCATATTTCGTATTTGATTAAGGCACGGTGTTGCCGAAACAGCTGTTATAAATCATAAAATAACTGTGAAAATTTTGAACATTTTATTTATTTATTATTTATTTATTATTAAAAATTAGTAAATTTAATTAAGTTGGTAACAATAAAGGAACCTAGCAAACATGTTTAGATTTCTTAAAAATTTGGCAATATTTAACCTCGTGATATTTATGTTTTATCTGCTCCAAGCCCGCAAAATACAAGTATGACCGTATATCACGTAAGTATATCATTTACTGAGCATTTTATAGTCGTTGTTATCGATATAAAAGTTAGCGTGGTCTTTGTTCTTAGGAAAACAGCATCCTGGCGACCACGAACCAAATGACATATAGAGGTTATTTTCCGTTGCAAATACTTCGGATGTCAGAAACCGCTTAAATTTATAGACTTCTTTTCATACAGATTCGCATCGGAATGATCTCCTTTAGCGTAGCGTTCAGACCTGTAACTAATGTAAAGTTTAAGCTTAATTTGACTAATAGGTACAAATAATCAAGCGTCAACAAAGTTAAATGTAGGAAAAAATGTAGGCATATTTCATAAGCCTAAATTTTACCGTTTCTGGTGTGCATTTTATATCGTTTATTAAACACTCGCTCCGCTGCGCTTCGCTCGTGTCAAATAAACTCGTGAGTCAAATACCGTTTACCGCACTTGTTGCATAATATACTATTACAGTCATCTCTTTCAGAAGAAATACCCGATTTTTATAATTTTATCGTATATCACTTTAAAAAAAAAACGGACTTAGTATATCGTTACCCATTTGAAAGAGTTGCAGATATAGAAATATAGACATTTAAACGGTTTTTCATTGTGAATAAGGTTAACATAAGATAAGGGATGAGTGCATTGGAAAACTCGGTAACAAAATTGATAAAAAAATGTCATTTTTTTTAACGTCTAATACAGTTATAGACCAAAAAATTGACATCGTCAGAGTACATACTGTGTGCATTTTCTATGAACCACTTCGTAGAAGATGGACCATTTTCACTAAAAAGGGTTGAACTTAAACAAAAACTATAAAGTTTTAAAAAAGTCCTTATAAAAAATTACAAATGTATTCCCTATTTTGTTTTCTTTTTAATATTTTAGTATAATAAGTTTTTGCTAACAGAAAATTGACTTTGAATTAGTGTCCTCCAATAAGTAGAAAAGTGATTGAAATACAATAACTTTGGCAGTATGGATTATCAAAATTACATTTAAGAGTGACATATTTTGGCCGTTTGACTGTGGTATTGTATTAATAAGTTGGCAAATTTGACCAAAGATTTGTTTAAATTGCTTATTTAATATTTTTAACGTATTTTAAGAAAGGAATGTTAGTTTTGCTTGGATTGTGCTCTGGTTGCATGTTAATAAAAAATATTTGTCTTGACATTATTTATTTAATAAAAGAGATTTATTTGTAATTCTTGAGGTAATTAGGTGTAATTTTTCATATATGTGGTATCTTAGTGTACACATTACTAAAATTCCCCTGGCAGTTTACGATCTTCCAAAATCAAAGATAAACTTGCGGATTAATAGTAAACCAGGTGAACCGTTTCTCATAACCTTATGGGGGAAACGTATATCAAACATTCTACTCTATAGGCGTTTTTTCCGAACCTATCTATCGTAACGGAAAAATGGGTCAGAAAATGTAAGAGAACTAAAACCGGTCTAGATTTATACATGTTATAACCTGCAGGCTTTTAAGGCTTTTGCTCTATTTTTATACGAAAAAAAAACTCAAACTACGTGCTTAAAGCTCGAACTTATATTCCGGAATATTGACTGTTTCGATCCCTAAGGCAAATGCTGATTCCGCTTCGGAAAAGTACGTGAATTCTAATGCAGGGAAATATGTTTTACGTCTCTTTCGCATCGTTCGTAGAACAGAGTATTAAGCTAAAGCGAAGAACACGTTAATCTTTTCGATTTTTCGTCTCTATGACGTTATCTTCTGAAGGATTTGGCTCAATTGTTTAGATTTAATTTACTATTAATCTAGTGTTTTTCCGTTAAAATTTAAGTTATATTTAAACCACAACAAAAATACGAAATTAAAACGTGTTTATACAAATTATGTTTGCGAGGCGCAAACACACAAAATTATAAATATATGTACAAATAATCATATAAATATTTAATTTTTAATTAACAAAGTCTATATGTATAAAATTATCAGAATTTGTTGAGGGTTGCGGATTCTATATTCCATATTCTTTTTAACAAAATGAAAACAATTGACTCAACTTACTAAAATCTATTTGGGGAGTTAATCTGTAAAATTATGTTGTTATTATACAGTTTCGATGGAAGAGAAATCCCAGAAAATTTTCCGCCGAACACAGCTCGTTGATCATAAAAAAAATTAATCTATAGGATAATTGTAGTAATTGTAATAATAATAAATTTTCTAGGAATATTTATGCGTTCGCAGTTATTGTGCCCTACAAGTAGTTTCTAATTAATAATTAATCATGTTAACTATAAAGAGAGGGACACGTTATACATTAAAACACGTTAAAAATAAAAATGTAAATTACAAGGTTTCATTTTTACTAAATAGTTGCACATGCGAAGGGCCAGAATATTCTGCTTTAAAAAAAATTCAGTGCCTTCTTGGAATAACTTGACAATTAAAATCAGGAAATAATGTCAGTTTGATCAAATTAATAGTGATAACATTGGAATCATAAAAGAACAACTAAAAGCCAAAACTGAAATATTTGGAGCCCATATTAGTAATGCATTGGCTAATCAGTTTAGAATTTTTATTTTAATTTATTCTATAGATTGAAAATGATCCTGGTGCTTGCTCTCGGACGATAGTAAAATGATTAATGATGTGATTAATGACAGTAATGATTTTTTTAAACACTGCCATAAATTATTTAATATGTTTTATTAGAGCATTTGGACTTACAGTCCTGGTACTTACTATTTAATTATATTTTTATCTTCCATTTTTATCGTTGAAACTGCGGACTTCCGATTCCTTTTTGTGTAAATAATAAATTGCCTCCTTTGGTCACATCAAATAAGCTATTGCCCGAGAGCTTTATACGTCGACATCCTATAGAACTTAAAGCTCCCGACATATCATACTTTCATACACCGCCCGCCGCCTGCTTGGAAATCTATTATATCTTGCTCTAAAGCGCTCTAGAATGGCTGAATGGGCTTCCTTACGAACGAAAGGAATATTTAAAATACAATACTTGGGACGTCGCAGGATCTACCGATTTTACTAAAATGTTAAGACTCTCTTTAATTTAACAACCCCGTAATAATAAGATCTGTAGTTCTGAAAAATTACGTCTACAGGGTCAAACAAGAAATTATGTAAAAAGAGATTTCTTCAGTAACGAAGGTGCTATGAATAAGGTTTTTCACGTAGAATGAACCATTTATTTGGTATAGGCCTGTTTATGTAAAACTTTTTTTTTATTTTTATGAAAGCTGAAAAATGGTTTCCAAACCCATGTTTATTAGAATGGTCTTTAAAATTAACTTCAGGAATAAGATCCTCACATAGTGACAAGTCTTTTTTCTACTGAATCTACATAGACAAGTCAAAAATAATTATTGAATGATGTTTATTGGTCAAAATGAATAGAGGAGTGGAATGAAAAAAGAAAACAAAAAATAACACATAGAAAGAAAACATTGACCTATGGCGAAGTTTAACCTCTTCAACTTAATCGCAAAGGACTATTGACTAGATATTATCACCCCACTATCTGTTTTCCTGATTTTTTTTTTCTGACTTTGAGCAGAATTTTTAAAATAATTAAAAAGACATTGTGCAAGGCGTCCCAAAAAATTTAAGAAAATGAAATGTAATAATTTATAATAAGAATTATAAAATATAAAAATCTCACAGGCATGTACCAATGGTAATTAAGGGCACTCTAAGTTTTCGCTGGCTGTTTTCTAGATAGTTACCACGTAATTTCTAAAAGAACACAAAGAACTTTATAAGAGTGAACTGGCAGATTCTCAACTAAGTCGCAGTCTGCTATTTTATTATATATATATTATTATATATATATATTTCAAAATAATCAGATAGTTTAGCCACGTATCCCCATGACGCTATATCATCCATTTTTGTTATGACCTTATTTTGCACTCATAAGCTTTAATAAGATAAGTTATTTCTAAAAATTATCCAAATATTTGAACAGAAGCCTATATGTCTAGCTTCTTGACCACATCAAACCATAGATAGAATAATAATAAACGTGCCATTCTGTGTTAAATTCGGTCTACAGAATTGCAAATAAATCATGTTTTCTTGCCGAACTGAAAGGAAACGAATGTTAAACCGAACCGAAAAAATTTCATTCGGGTCGTATATAGAACGGACATGACATTAAACAGTAAAGAAGATAAATGACATGTGGTTGATTTAAATGGAACTTTTTCAGTGTGTAACAAAGTAGCTTTTCAGCTAACACAGTGTTAAATGACTTGTTAAAGTGCTAGGGCGGAAGTGGAGTTGTTAGGAGGGAAAATACCGCGGGCACGGGGTGTATCTGCGAAAATTGCCATAATTTGTAGCGAAACCGGCATTAATCATGGCGCTAACGGGAATTATTTTTGTAACAAAACAACGGCGATGTGGCCCGAGTTTATCGATTTTCGTTTTGCACTTTTATAAAGGCAACCGCGGTTGCCTTTCGTTAATCTAGTTAGAATGGAGGGTAATATGTAGTTCATTGAAATAGCTTCGGAAATCGGGTATACTTTTCATTCGCTTCGACGTTATTTAAGATCCTTTTTAGCCAAATGGTTTCTTTTATTTGCGCAATGTGCATTTTTCACACAAAATGATGTTTTGCTATGCGTATCTATCCTGTTGGCTTTTTCAGAACTTAACTGAAAGGGGCTCGGATGACTGATTCCCATATTCGTGACCTGAGTCGCGGTTAAGATTGTTTAGTTGCTTATAAATTTCTATAAATGTTCGGATATTTCGTTAGTAGTTTTATCGAATAAAATTTGATGTCCAATTTCGTGATTGTATTCGGATACTGCTGATGAGTTTACTTGTCTTAGTCTTCGTCTATATTGGAAAAAACCTAATACCAATCGACTTCTAAACTTAAGCTGTGTCAACCAACATGAAAACTCACCAAAATTAATTAATTAAAATTGTTTCATAAATTTCGTTTCGCTTCTATACCTCTGAATTCAATCTGTTTTCTTACATTGTCTCTTCCACACCTACGTAATTACGGTGTCCGCAGTTGGGACATTTTAAATTGATTTGGTGGCCCTCTCTTTGCTATCTAAAAAGCTTTAGTGTGCCAATTAGATATTTTTTATATAAAAAAAGGAGAAGAAGAATATTACTCTGTGTCAACGCCGTCTTAAAATTCTACAATAACCTGTAGTTGTACAGTTAAAAAGTATCTATGGTTAGTAGAATTTCCAAGCGACTATGTCGTTTAGCAATAGTTATTATAAGTATAGAGTATAAGTCGTACAAAGTGATGCTTTTGAACGCTCATTTAATATGCACACTGCATGGTTATTACAGAAAATTATATACCTCGTGCCCATTTTCTTACGTATGTTACATTATACAACAGCCAATGCAGCTTACACGTAATGTTGTTTTTCCGTGAAACCGTATCACCTGGATTTTCGCACACTCTTTATTATATGAAGGGAAAACGATGAAAATCAGGTAAATATCTGATAGAATTTTAAATAGACACTTAGCGTTTCTGTAGGTGACGTAATTCAATTGCCACTTTCAGATCGAGCAACGTGTACATAATTCAACTCTGGCTGCTTAGTATCCATTTTCTCAAATAAGTTTGATAGCTGACACTTTTATCACCAGTTTATTTTCGCACAAGCCATGTGAGTGTTTTAATAAATGGGCATTTGAAGATGTTTATGAACGTGTGGCATACTACACCTTACACTATTAGTTTTTAAAAACATTTCTGAATGACGTGTGACTTAAGCATCAGAACCGACAAACGACAAATACCACAAGTGTCTAATCGATAGAAAATATCCGATCGCTCCCAAACCCGTGACCAAAGAACAGAAAAAGCCCGAAATTGTTCTCGACAGTGCTTAACAAAGACTTTTTAAAGTAATATTTGGCGCACGCGTGGTAAGTGAATAACTGTATATTTTGGAGTAAGGAGTAGAAAAATAAATATTAATATTAGTATAAGAATTTTGCGAAATATACTCAGCGTTTAAGTGTAGGGTAGTTTTGGTTAGTTTTTAAGTGTTACATTTTTGAATTGACAAAAATTCTTCGGGATCTTTATATCAACTTCACTGTCACTTTCACTTTTTTTTTCATGAATGTCGTATATATCTCTGTTAATTTTACTTAGATTTTTGTGCAATTTTAAGTAGGTTATGTTTTATTATTTTAAATGCATGAAACATATAAGACGTGTGATGAAATTCTTGTTTTGATTTACCCTTGAAATTTTTGCTAGTAAATAATTTTTATTTTAAGACTTCATGTGGGTTATTTCTTCCAGATTTTTGTGACAAATAACCCAAAACAAGAAAGAAGAAAAAAGAACGAAGAATGTGATTGAAAAAAAAAAGAATGTAGATTGGTTCTTTATACCCAAGTATGCAATGATCAGGCGGTCGCAAGGTTTTGCTTTAAAAAGGCAGTTTCGCTAAACACTGTCACTAGTCACTTTGACAGTTTCCGGTTCTTTATTCCCGACAACACTGATGGTATTAAAATCGTCTTCGAAAAAACTAGAAATTACTCTTTTGTGCAGCTGTCAACGGAATTGAAATGTTTTACTGTAGTGCAGTAATTTTTCAAAACAACGGTTATGAATATTTTCAAAAACAAAACCGAAGTACAAGAAATACAGGAATGGGAAATGTTATATAAAATAAGTGTAAAAAACAAATAGGTGAAAGATTATAATCATTTTGACAGGCCCATTTTTACAATTTCCTAGGTGAAGGGTTAATAATGATAACAAAAAAATATATGTCAATGTCACAAATTAACAAGATTAACATGAAAATTTTAAATTAATATTTGTTTGTATTAAAATTTTAAATTGTGTAGGTTAGACTACTTTTTCTAAATTATGTAGAAAATTTTGTCACATCATTTTCTGAAATAAGTGCCAGGGTAAACTTATAAAATGAAAATAAAAAATAAACTTAAGGGTTTTAGGTTTAATTAGTTTATTTTTGTAGATATACTTTGAGTATGATGTAGTATTTGTATAAGTGTGTTGTCTACTGAATAAATATATAGGCCACAGAGAATAGTGCGAAACGCGTGTATAAATTTCTTCAAATATTAGTTAAATTTTAGAAAGAAATATGGGCCAGCACTGTTTGACTTACGCCAAGCCAGCACAGTTTTCAAATTGGTCAAGATGGTCAAATTTAGTGAAAATTGACCTAAGCCTGAACTTAATTTCAAACCGCACTCCTTTCCAATTTCGCTAACTTGTGAAATACAGAACCAGCATCTTTGTTTTGTTTGTTGATAATAATCGCGGGTTTAATTTGTTCACTTCTTTGCATTACTTCATCGCGCGTTATTAAATATGCATTCTGTGTTTCATCAAAATAACATCACGCCCCCGTGAAATGCCCTTATTACGTAAATAATCCCGTGTATATTACGAATTATGCTCTAAATTCAGTGGAGGATTTCCTGTCCCCAACGAAGTTTCTCTAACAAAACCTAAACGAATTCCGAGAAAGTTTTGAATTACGAGCGAGTTATTGTATGTGAAGGAGTGTCGTCGGGCTTTAGTTTCACAGCTTTAGTTGCGTAACTTAGACGAGACTGGTTTTGCGAACACCTAACTTCAATTTAAGCAATACCTTATCGTGCGCCGGGAAAAAACTGCGTACGAGGTGGACAACTTCTAGAACTGTATTTTGTTTTTATAGTTCTTCAAAGGAATTTCTTTCTTCTTTCTTTCGTTATTTTTTTTATCCCCTTAAAATGAGAAAACAAGATTTTTTATACATAGTTTTATAGTACTAACATTTCATAAAAATTGTTAAGTTCATTGTGGTCAGATCTCTTGAGTGTTATATATTTGATGAGGCGGCTCAAACCAATTATTAGTCTTGACATATTGGACTTTTTCATTCGAAGCTATCACATGGAGTCACGGTATTGGGTAACAGTACAACAATCCGAGTATTAGTTGGAGCGCGTTACAAAGATCACTGCCAACCTATTTTTTGCGAGTTTTATAGAATTATACCTTTGTCGTGTCTGTACTTGCACTATACTATGTTAGAAATCTATACAAAGAAGTGAAGCTACTTTCCTCTTTAAATCTACATAAATATCACTTAAGAAATTGTAACCAAGAAATTCTTTAATTTAAATTAACTTACTCTAAGAAAAACTCTCTGGATTTGTTGATAAAATAAAAGATATATTATTTAAGTAAGTTAGGAAGTAGGTAGATAGGTAGTAATTCAATTTAAGCTAAACAATTTCTTGTTAGATAAGAATACATTTTTGGACACCTTGTATAAGACGGAAAGTTTTTATAATATATTGTAATGTAATATTGTAATATTGTAAATTTCGCTAAAATAACTTTAATACTATTTAGAAATCTTCTAGATTCCTCTTGCGTGGGTCATTTTCTTATTACATTAAATGGTTTTTATTGAATTGAAATAAAAAAAAAACACTACATTTTTGGAACTCAAAGAGCAAACTATAAAAATATTAAAATATGAATTTGTTTTTTATCAAAGCTAATTTATTTATTATATTTAATAAACCATCGACATTCCCACAATATATATTGGCGTCTTTAATCATTATTTGATCAGTTTCACCAACTGTCAATTTTTGCTGAAACGTATTTTCAATAATAAAGGAATTGGAATAACGTCATGTTTTTGTTTTGAAATTGATGATAATGAATTTTCGATTCATTAAAGCATAAATTTAGGAGGTTCAAAAAAATGCGTTAATTTTATTGTCAACATGTTTTAATTGGTAATTAATATTTCCGGGTACATTTGATTGGAAAATAACTTCGTCGCGTTTCGTGGGCGAACAGAGACGTCTGAAATTAAAGTTTCCATGAAGAAAATAAAGACCGGCTCGAAGTTGTTGGACTTAAAAAAGGATCGCTTGCAATAACATTAATCAAACGACAGAGGAAATAAAAGGCGATTTACAAAAGGCGGGCTGGCCTGCTGGCATGTCGAAAGGACAAAAGTTGGGATGGAAAAACAATCGCCGGCAGGTGTCCCTGAAATATGGCGATAGCCTTCGCACGTGTGCCCCCTGAAAAAGTGCCAGGATTTGCCATTTTCTAAATTAACGGAGAAACTCGGTATGACTTCATTTTTTACGAATCATTGATGTAACAAAATACAGTCCTCCTGATAAATCCATCAGCAAAAAATATAACAGGTGTGTAAAATATATAGATATAAAAATACTGTACCATTCTTAATCCATAACAAAACTAAGTTATGAGTGAAGCAAATACACAAGGGTATTTTAAGTTGATGAGAAGTGTTTTTCTGTCAATTTCGAGTATCCCAACGCTTTCTCAATTTTTTATAATGTAATTATAGCAGAAATATGATCCAAAAGCATATTGTAGAGCGTCGGTGCAAAATATTTGCTTGTACGCTGACGAATTGTCTATGAACATGCCGTGATATAAGTCGGCCTTCCCATAGTCTCGTAGTTGAGTGCCACTGACCTTAATAAAATCTTTTTTTGTATAAATCCCTCAGTAATATAAGACAGTGAAGCTTCCAGTCATCTGCTTTCTCGAAACAAAGCATCACTAGAAAAACCTAAATCTTTTCTATATATGACTTTAATAATCAATTTTTGTAGTATTGTTGTATTGTAGAATTCCGTAAGACAGGGCAGACTCGACAAGTGCAATAAGTGCTTTTAAGTTGTGAAAGGGTTAGAAAATCGCGCAGTGCTCTAAAACGCGGGAAAGTACCTCTGCTATTTTTAGCAACATTCTGTATCTGTAAGTCCCATTTGAGATCTCATTGAAATCTCTGTGTTGTCATTTATCTTCAGAGCGCAAATTCGCCAGATTCGGAAAATTGTTGCTGTATGACGTAAATGGTAAGCATCGAGTTTTATCAAAATTCAAAGTTAACTGATTGCATGCATTTCTTTAAATTTTGCCTTATTTGTTTTACAATTTCGTCATCAAAATTTATTATTTTTCCATGTTATTAAATCATTTTATATAGATGGAGAATTACAGCGGCCCAAGTACCGTGCCCTGCGGTGTACCGCCAGAATCTCCGCATACTGAGTTTTGTTAGCGAAACAGTTTTGTTGTAGGTTGTAAATACATCCTCGGAACCCATGACATTTCATTTTATAGAAAAGTCTAGAGTGAGGGACGGTATCAAACGCATAGGATATACTGGGCTGTTTCGAATTTAATGTATCGTAGATCTGCTCTCAAAAATCACAAATTACGGCCTGAGTCGATCTTTTCTCCCTAAATCCATACTGACGATTTTATATTATCTTACATTTGCCTAGAATTTTCACTATTATTATGATTGTTGTTTATTGTTTTTCGAAAATACTGATATCAGCCAGATGGGATCGTAGTTAGAAATTTTAGTTTTGTCTGCGCCTTGTTATATAGACTCGATTATACCAATTTTGAGACACTCATAAAAGCATGGATCACGAAAACATTTATTAATGAAGTATGTAAGTACTGGTAATATTTGATCAGTCACCGGTTTCACAGTTTCACTTCTTATATTATCACATCCGGGAGATTTGTTTGCTTTTAAAGTTTCAAAAATTGATTTTACGTCGGCAATATTTATACAAACGCACTGTATTCTCCACGAAAGGGATATTTTCTTTAAACTTTGATGGAGGGATTATATACCGGCCAGTGTTAAATTTCTTATTTTAAATGGAATACCCTAGATGCTATTACTTTTTTGAATTAATCAGAAAATTCTACCTATAAGTAAATAAGACGGTTTTTGGGATATTTAGCACTTAATATCAAAAATGACTTTTGAAATTATAAAAACTCTCTAAAATCATTTTTCAAATGGAGATCCCATCTTATGTACCATTAAAAATAGAAATACACAAACAAAAAATAAAAAAGTACTTATATGTATTGGGTTGTATTTATATCCCGAATATTTGTAGTTTCTGAGATATGGTCGTTTAATTTCTTTTAACTTGGTCTGCTGTTAACATTGAATTAATCGAAGTTAATAGATTCCTATTTAAAATAAGGAAGTTGACATCCACTTCGTGACCCAACACCCCAACCCCAAATTTTTAAATTTTTGCTACTTAAAGTTTTCTCATAACGCTATATATGAGCATTTGATTGCTGGGCCCGATAAAGAAGAAAGTCCCTGGTTATATTTATACTACATCAGTTAACTGTATAATGAAATATCATTTGGGGAACCCTCGGCAGTGTGACGTCGTTTCGCATGCCGCCGAACGGCATTTTATCACCCAAAAAGGACTAAGTCGATCAGACAAGGGAAGCTAAATTTATTGGCAAAATTCAGATTCAATTTAACTTAAAGCAAGTAACGTGGGAATTCGACCCGGAATCGTAAATTAGCGGAATCCGATACACTTTAATTAATTTCAAAGCCTTTCCGCTAAAACTCATTAACAGAAAACTGAAACATCGGTCTGGAAATCGCCACTGGATTGTTTCTATAGCTTTATGGGTTTATTTCAGGACAATATCAGGGACCATGTTGACGCTGGCGGTTGAGATTGCAGAACCGGCAGCTTCGAATAAGTGTGAATAAAGAGGCTTTTTTCGGCTAGATTAGCATTTTCTTTATTATCCTGACAACTTATCACCTGGTTAAATATCTCCAATCGTTCCCAAGGAAATAAGGCGAAGAAGCACTTAGTAAAATTCAAAATTACAAGAACCATTGTTTACTTTTTTTAGTGATCCATTTCTCAAAAGCTTCAATGTCAAATATATTAGTTTTCAATTTACAACTATCTTTTTCTGGCAAGACCGGCTTATGGGGAATATGTTTTCACGTTATTGAAGTTACAAGATTACAAGTATTTTGTTCACCTACTCTTTCAAACCGTGTGATTTCACTATGAAGACTATGATAAAACAATTGAATAAAATTTGAATACACATTATTTCAGTGGTAAAAACATTTGTTTGTATAATAATTCTAAAATATATTAGGACTTTTTGCGAAAACTAATTTGCAAAATTGTTTGTCTAGAAAACTGGGTTTTCGCATGTTTTCCTTCTAATTCGAAACTTTTTTTACATTAATTTCTGTTTGTCATTTACTGGCATTTGCAAAATTGTTAAATGTTAATTATCCTCTACTTCCCACAGAAGCAAGCAAAAAAAATAATTGTTTTCTATTAACACATCCCATTATAGTATTACATGATCTTTTTGACCTGATAACATAATTCAGAAGTGATTCTTTGTGCCTTTTTTAAATAACAAATGAATGTACATCAAATTGAAAACCAATTTCATTTTCTGTCCTAAACAAATTACATAGATATTGTCATTTTACTTTTTCAATTATTAGACTATTAATAGATGCATATAAACAAACAGATTTAGGTCAATAACCATTTTTTTCGACTTTTTGTATGTACAGCGCTGTCAGTTTATTATGGGATCATTTAATTTTCTGTTTATTCATACTTTTAAAATATTTCATAACCTAAGTCTTGTATGTCAAAAGTGAAGTGCAGTCTATCGATATCTGCCACTGAAAGTTTTTGCAATATATATTAAGAAGTAACATTACAAATTTAAATGAAAAAATTGTTAATAGTATTTTTTCAAATGGAAATACCCTCCATTTAATAATTTTATCACATTTCGCATTTAAAAAACTGTAACTTTGTATAAGTAAATTTGAAGAAGTAGTAGATTTTAAACTGTTAGCAAAAAAAAAACGTTTTTTCATTGTTAAAGTGCAATGCCGGCGGGACATGGTTAAAGAATACAACCATCGAGTACTGTTTAGTCATATTTTAATGTTCTTTTTATTTAATGGGACACATCTTTTTGTTACAAGTTTAAAACCGTATTTCTGGAAAGTGTTTGATCATCTGGATATTTTTCAGCAAGTTTCTAAATGTTTTTGATAAAATTTGTTACATTCTTAGATATTAAACTATTTTAGAAACTTTTCTGTTAATAATTTATTTACCACATGTGATTTATTACATTTAATAAAGAGTTTTATTGTCAATATTTCAAAATAAACATTTTAATGATTAATTTTAATCTAACTAATTTAATTTATCTTATTTCGCATTTAAAAACCTATTAGCAATAGAACGTTTTTTATTGCAAAAGTGCAATGTTCCTATTTTAATTTATATTTAATGGGATACATCTTTTTGTTACAAGTTTAAAACAGTGTTTCGGGGAAATTTTTAACCATATGGATATTTTTAAGAAAATTTCTAAATGTTTTTTGATAAAATTTGTTTTATTTTTAGACATTAAACAATTTTAAAAACTTTTCTGTTAATAATTTATTTACCAAATATGATTTATAACATTTAATTTTATTGCCAATATTTTAAAATCGACAAGTTTTTGAAATAATAAATCTTACGGAAGGTAACCCTCTTTTTAAAAATTATAAAAATGGGGTATTTTCGTTAGACTTTTAACAATTCGTTATTCAAATTTTTAATGTTGGTTTTTGGCAATCCCGTATTGATTTTCCATATATCAGTATAAACTAGGTCCCGTTTAAAAGAAAATCAGTCCCAAATATATAAGGAAAAATTCCAATTGGAGAAGTCGATAGATATATTTAGGCCCCCAAACGTCACAAACGACAAAATATATCAGAAACGACGGTAAGACTGACTTATAGATTATCACATACAAAACGTGTCTAGAACTTTGCGGGGAATTCTATTTATTATGTTCTATTTAAAATAAGAAAGTTACTTGTACACGAAAATTCAAACACCAGCAATATAGTACTATAAAATTATAAATAAATCCAAAAATTTTGTTGAAAATATACTACATTGTCTTCCTTCATAATAATGCGGAACAGAATAAAGTTGTCTCTTTTCTCTTTGAGAGATAGACTCATGTTGGAAATAAATTTGGCTTTACACAATAGTAGTTTTAAAAATTCAGTCTGCACGAAAATTTTGACAGCGAGCTTTTCAAAAAAATCTCCGCTCTATATAAATACAGGTAAATCGCGCTTCTCTTCTTAAAATGAACGAATGGGTTGAGAATTTCCGTACTCGCTTATAATTTATCGCCTTTGTTTTAGTCAGTTAAACCGAAAGCAACAGTATCTAGCAAACAAAGCAATCCAAACAGAACACTTC